CCCCGAAGATTGGCGGCGCGAAGAGGGGGACAGGGGGAGGGGGGAAGGTTTGTTAGAAGGAGGCTGCTTCTTAGAAGGCGCCAGCCTTACATCTACAGACAAGGCCCGCGCCTTCTAAGAAGCAGGGGTGCTTCTAAGAAGCCTTCCCCCCTCTCCCTAATCCCCTCTGCGAGTGGCTGAGAAGTCCCGACCCTTTCCTCAGGACCGGTTTTCCATCCCGAGCCGATTTTGTTGCTGGCCCTGGGGCCCTGCGAGGGCCCCCAGTGGCCAACAACGGCCAAAAACCTCCCGCCCTGAGTTTTGTTTCACGCGGCAGGCATGTCTGAGGATTTGTTGCATCGGATGGACAGTGGGCCCTGGCAGAATAGAGGCCTCCTGGATGAGATCAGAGTAGATGGGGTCGGAGGACCGCGCCGCATCGCCCATGCAGCGCCGGTGCATAGGCAATGTATTGCCATCGCATCGGCGACGTCGGCGATGCATCGGCGCCATCGGCGTGGAGAATGTCGGGCTCCACATCGAGCCGCGTCGCCGATGCGTCGGCGATGCGGCACGATCCTCCGACCCCATTTCTGTGGCAACTCATGGGAGCTTCACATGCCATCTTGCTGGTTCTTGCGAATCGACGCTAACCAACGCTAATCCACGCTAGTCGACGCTCAATCGGCGCTATTCGACGCTAAATCGGCGCTTTCTCATCGACTACCAGACGCTAGCGCACGCCAATGCATTCTAAAGATGGAATTGCGAGGACATACGAGGCTCCCACAAGTTGCTACCGAACCCACCTACTCTGTTCCCACCTGGGAGACCCGCGAGGGACACCGCGTGGAAAACGAGGTCGGTTACGCGCCTCCTTACGCGGGGAACTTACGCGCGAATGTCGGCGAAGTTGGACCCGTTGTCTTACGTCGCTCGTCTGGGAGGTCAAGAGACACACAACACAGCAAGCCGACTCAAGCAACCGCCCTCAGAACAAGCACCCCGACAGGCCAAACACTGTTGAGCCCTCGCACCCAGGGAATGAATCAGACAGGGCAAGGCTGATCAGTAAGCGGCCGTCTTGGGGCCCTCTTGGGCTGTCTTGGGGCCCTCTTGGGAGCCTTTCGGGCCGACTAGGGGCCCTCTTGGGGGCCTCTCGGGTCGCATTGGAGCGTCGGAAGCTCGACAAGTCTAGAAACCCAAACAAAACAATGAAACACAATGAAAAATCATTGATGCTGGCCTCTCGGGACCCTCTAGGGAAGGGTCTTGGGGCTCCCTTGGGGCGTCTCGAAGGCTTCTTGGGCCATCTTGGAGCCACCTGAACGTCCTGGACCGATCGTGTCGCGATTCGGGGTACTCTTCTTGGACCGACTGGGCAGCTGGGTAGCAACCGCCAGTGATGAGGACCGAAGCGAGCCGACCCACCAGAGCGGACGGCTGTCCGATCCTGCCCAAGACTCGGAGGGAGGGGCCGTGGCCTCCCGGGGCAGGAGCTATGCGTCGCAAGCAGCCACGCGTGTGCACAGCGAGCCAAGACAAAGAGGCACGACGAGGGAGGGGGAGGAGGGGGGAGTCGTGAGTCCTCGATGTGGATGTCGGCGTGCTGTCATCACGTGGGGTGTAATGTACCGCCGCTCGGGTGTCGACCAGGTGGAGATGTCTTGAGCCGTGCGGAAGGCGCCCGCACAAACGGGCGACCGGCTGGGCAGCTTGATAGTAAACGCCAGCTATGGGAGGCCTAGACTGGAGGGGCCCAGGGACACACCAATAGATAGACACAGCTCCCAGGACTCCCCCTAGTCTTCCATATTTTCTGGACTATCGTCTACCCCCCCACTTCCCAAATGTCTCCATACCCTCCTGGGAATCGAGGATGCTTTGTGCCTGCGTGTGCGTTTCCCTTCCTGATTGGTCGCAGAAGCGCCAGCTACGCGAGGCCGATGAAAAAAAGGCGCGCCGTGCGCGGCCTCGCCCCGCACGTCGTCGTCGTCGTCGTCGTCGTCGTCGTCGTCGTCGTCGTCGTCGTCGTGGTCGTCGTCGTCGTCGTCGTCGTCGTCGTCGTCGTCGTCGTCGTCGTCGTCGTCGTCGTCGTCGTCGTCGTCATGGCCGTCGTCGTCGTCGTCGTCGTCGTCACCGTACGCGGCCTCGCTCCGTCGCCGCGCCGCGCCGCCCTGCGGCGGGCCGCCGCCGCCAGGCCCGCGCCGGCGCAGGCGCACGCCAGCGCGGCGGCCGACGCCGCCGCCGCCGGCATGGCGCGCTCAGCCCCCCGCGTGCGTCCGCGGCGCGGGGCGCTGGCTGGGCAGGTCGTCGTCGTCGTCGTCGTCGTCGTCGTCGTCCGTCGACATCGTCGTCGACGACGTCGTCGCAGTCGTCGTCGTCCACGTCGTCGTCGACGTCGTCCTCATCGACGGCATCGTCGTCGTCGCCGTCGTCGACGCCGGCACGAAGCGCTCGGGCTCGGGCTCTGAGCTTTGGCTCGGGCTCGGGATCTGGCTCGGGCTCGGGCTCGGATTCGGGCTCGGGCTCGGGCTCGGGGAGGCACCCAAATCTCCGACGATGTGGTGCTTGGCCACCGGCGGCTTTGTACCGCGATGTCGGCCGTCAGGGGCCGTTGTCGGCACCCGGGACCATCAAAAACAGATCTGGGGCAAGAGAACTACTTCCGGGAAAGGGGTCGAGACCGCTGGGGCCGCGGATTGAAAACATCACACCGGCGGATGCCAGGGCACAGTGCAGTGCGTGGCGGCGGCGGCTGCGGCGGCACGCTGTGCCCTGCGAGCCGATGGCGCGTCGCTCTGCTCCGCGGGGTGGGGGGCACGGAAAGGCGCGGGAGCTTGGATGCCTTGGGGCCGGGGCGTGCTCGGCGTGCCGCGCCGAAGTGGTGGGCCTGAGCCGGCGGCGCGACACGCCGAGCAGGAGTTCCCGAGGCAAGGTGGGAAGCGACGCCTCCGACCCCCCGGGGGCCCCTCGAACCCACGCAAGTGGGGCCGAGCAGGGCTCGATCTGAGCAGTGCTTTTTATGCTTCTGTTTGTTGTCGTTCTCCCTCGTTCCGTATTCGTGCCGCCCCTGCGGCAGAAGCTTTGCAGCGGGGGCGCTTCGTTCTGATGCGTTGTCTGGCGATCTCGTGGGCCGTTTTCGTTTTCGTTCCGTCTTCAGAACGGAGTCAAAACGAGAACGGCCCACGAGATCGCCAGCAACCGCCGCTGAGAGGCAGAGGCCTGAGGCCGCGGTGGGCGCACCGCAGAGGTGGCCAGAGGGCGAAGGAGTGCTGCACCGCTCGGCGGGGCCGCAGCGCGCGCGGAGCTCCTAACCCGAAACGTGCATCCACGGCTGGGGCCTTTCGCGCGTCGCTGCGCTTCCCGCCTTCCTCCCCTCCCTCCCGCAGGCCGCCCGACGGCGGCGGGCGGGGAGAGGGCGACAGTGGCGACACGACCTGCACTCGGGGCTGTTTGGGTCCACGTGTCGCGCAGCGGGGCCTGGCCCACCGCGCTTCGGCGCGACGCGCTGGCCACCGTCCCAGTCCCCCGAACAAGAGGTGATGCATAAAAAAGCAAGTGCTCATCACCCTCGCTGTTTGTCACAGTCCCTTTGACCACGCCTGTTCTCCACCGCACCCGCTCGGGGCCTGGCGCGCTGCGCCTTCGGCGCGACGCGCCGGCCACCGTCCCAGTCCCCGGCTGCCAGCGTCCCGAGCCTCCCGCCCCGCAGAGCGGAGCGACGCGCCAGACGCCTGCGGAGCACAGCGTGTCGCCGGGGCCGCCGCCACGACACGCCGAGCAGAAGGGTTAGGTCGGGCATGTCCTCCTACAGGCGGATGTGGAGCGAAAAACGAAAGATAGTCAAGACATCATCTTAAAGACCATTTCTTTGACCAGTTCTTTGCAACAAAAACATTTGCACATCATAACATTTGCAACAAAAACCAAAACATCGTCCCCAGGCTATTCCTTTGACCATTTCTGAAGATTCCTCGTGTAGAGGGACATGCCCGACTTCACAGAAGTTCCTGACTGCATCCTCCGCGCGGAGCGCCCCACGTGCGCGCGGGAAGACTGGCGGAGAGCACGCGGGGGTAGCGCGAGGGGGGCGGACGTCTTGGCAGGCGGAAGGGCCTCGCAGAAGGCCAAAGGGCCGTCTTCGCAGCCCTCCCGGCTTCCGAGAGGCCTTCTGAGAGGCCCCAGGCCCTTCTGAAATCGGGGGCGCGCAAACATGGATTTGCGATCCATGGATTTGGCGCAAAACGCGGCCGGTGCCGCCTCGCTCGGCGGCAGAAACCTGCGATTTCCCATGGGAACGGGACCCGGCGCTAATCCACGCCCCCTCGATCCAGGTTTGCGATCGCCTGATGGAAGGCCTTCTATATTCTAAGCAGGCCACCCCCCTGGCGCCACCCCCCCCTGGCGAGCGCCGCTGCGCAGAGGGGCTCCGCCGCGGCGGCGCTCGCTGGCGGCGGAGGCGGGGAACGCGAGGGGCTGCCCCCCCCCCCACCCCCCCGGGAGGCCCCAGGCGCGGCCGAGAGGCCCCGACGCGCTCCCCCCGCGGCGCCGGCCAGGGCATCCCCGGGCTGGCGGAGACCGACCGATGCCTCAGACGCCAGCGCGCCCGCACGGAATCGCGGGCGAGCCCTGAGACCCGGGCGTGGCAAGTTGCCTCCAGACGGGCGTCGCATGAAAATCAGGACGGGCGGTGTTTGCCAGTTCTCGTCCTCGGGGAGCCTCGGCCCTCGCTGGGCCTCGGAGCCGTCAAAAAACGGCTCGGGATGAAAAACCGGTCCCGGGGAAGCTGTCCAGACCTCTGGAGGACGACGCTGCCACGACGTCGGGGGTCTGGGGGCGTTGCGGCGTTTCCGAAAGGGGCGTCTTCGCCCGGTTTCGGGCCCCGAGACCAGCGCTGATCTTTCCAGCTCGGAAACTGCCGCAGAAAGATGAGGTCTAGGGCTGAGGTGGTGATGTTTCGCGGTGTTGCATTCTTGCTCGCAATCTCGGATCTCAGGGAGGGGTCTGCCTCGCCTGACCTGCGCGCGGCGGCTGGGGCGGGGACGTCGAAACCGCCGGCTATGTAAAGGCGGATCTCGTTGATGATGCAATTCAGGCGGTTGCGGCTCCCGTCCTGGCGGCAGCCAGCAGGGGGGTGGCGCGAAGGCTGGCGGCGGGATGGAAGTAGCAGCAGCAGCTGGGGAAACCAGATGGTGAACCGATACCACCACTACCCAGACCTCTCCCTAGGGCGCTCTGACCAGGAAATCGAGGCGAATCCAGCGGCGGGAACGATGGCCTCCGAAGAGGAAAAACGGAAGGGTAGCGGTATTGGTACCTTTTGCTCCCCTGACCAGCAGCAGCAGCACGCAGCGGGTTCTCCCAAACCCCCGACGTCATGATTTTGGTTCATCACGTCGACCCCACCAGGTCTTGACCCAGTCCCTGGGGCCGGATCTTCATCCCGAGTCGTTCTTGGATGGTCCCGAGGGCCGGTAGGGGCACCCAAAAGCCGAATATAACAAAAAACCTGGCGCCATGATTTTCCCCATGACCTCGGGGGGTCTGGATTCGAGGCAGCGGCAATGGCTGCACCTCTCCCAGGGTGCATTCTGACCAGGATTTCGAAGCGAATCCAGCGGTGGCAACGAGGGCCTCCGAGGAGGCCAAAAAAGGAGGGGAAACGGGCGAAGGGTAGCGGTATTGGAACCTTTTACTCCCCTGAGCAGCAACAGCAGCAGCAGCACTGACTGCAAGAAGATCGAACCCGACACAACAAAAGAACACAAGTGACCATGTTGAACATTCCTCAACCTTTCTTGGACAGAGAATTGTTACGGAGTGTCCACAATTGCCACTTGTGCTTTCGCGGAAGAATGTCCAAGATGGCACTTTGCGACATGATGCCGCCCACCTCAAAGATCAGAGAAGGTGCCCTTTCGCCATCTCGTTTCGTTCTAGCGACGCATGCCTGTAAGCACTGCTGCGTACCAGCAGAGGCAACGGCAGTGGCAGCACCCGCAGCACCCGCAGCGGCGGCGGCGGCGGCGGCGGCGGCAGCATGGGGCCGCGCAGCCCGTCGCCGTGCCACACCGTGCCCCTGCCTGCGCCTCCTGCCTCCGCAGAGGCCTCCTAGATGGGGTCAGAGCAGAGGAGGAGGAGGAGGAGGAGGAGGAGGAGGAGGAGGAGGAGGAGGACAAGGAGGAGGAAAAGGAGCAGGAGGAGGAGGAGGACCAGTGTAAACCCAAGAGGCATCAACGATGTTGGAATACACCCTCCCTCCAAGCTCCCTCTTCATAGGCCCCTACAACGGCTCATGTCTACTGAAGGAACTGCCTCGTTGGAAGGCAACTGTTTGATGCCAAGACATTGTTCTTGGGATTCCAACGCCACGGATCAACCTGACTGTTGCGTCTCGACGACCCTGAATCGTGCCAGAACGCCATTCCTTGGAATTGAACACCGCAAATCAACATAACTGATGCACCCTCATGAGTCTGAATCCTTCCAAAACCCCATTTCTAATACGGTGATCACGGGAATCCGTGAAACTCTTGCAACAGTAGGCGAGAACCACATTTTGAAAAATAACCGCCCTCAATCTGTGAAACTCTTGCAAAGTTTGCAAACGAATACGCGCAGCGCTGAAGCGAGAGCCACAGATTGAAAACGACTCGCCCACAATGCGTGAAGTTCCTGCCAACGTTTAAGACGAGTGTGCGCGTCGCTAAGGCGAGAGCCACACTTTGAAAACGACTCGCCTTCAATCCGTGAAACTCTGGTAATTTTCAAACACGAATGTGCGCGGCGCTAAGACGAGAGCCACATTTTGAAAACAACCCGCCCTCCATCTGTGGAACTGTTGCTAGTTCTTAAGCTTCAGAATCATAGCAGGTGAGGAAGTCTCGGGCGAAACGCCTGGTCCGCCCTAAAAACTGGCCTCGGGGTGCGACAGGGAGAAGCTATATATAAGGAGGAGGAATGGAGGACGAGGAGGAGAAGGAGGAGGACGAGGAGGAGGAGGAGGAGGAGGACCGGCGATGCAACGGCGATGCACCGGCGATGCATCCGTGGCGACGACCCCGTGAAAACCGTCGGGCTCCGCATCGAACCGCATCGGCGATGCACCGGCGATGCATCCGTGGCGACGACCCCGTGAAAACCGTCGGGCTCCGTATCGAACCGCATCGGCGATGCATCGGCGATGCAGCGCGATGCTCCGACCCCATCGACTCCGACCACATCCAGGAGACCTAGAGGAGGGGGGGAAGGCTTCTTAGGAGGAGGCCGCTTCCTAGAAGGCGCCAGGAAACCGGACCCTGGTATACGCAGGATCCTGGTGTATACATGTTTCGTTGCTTCCCCAGGACCACGGGGAGCCAAAAGTACATACCACACCACCCCGACGCCGCCCCCGACCCACAAAAAAATCCGGGATTGAAAAACAGCCCGCCACTCCCTCCTCCTCCCCTCCCCTCCCCTCCCTTCCCCTCCCCCTCCTCCTCCTCCTCGTCCTCCTCCTCCTCCTCCTCCTCCTCCTCCTCCTCCTCCGCACCCGCCGCCGCCGCCGCTTCCGCTTCCGCCTCCGCCTCCGCCTCCGCCTCCTCCTCCGCCTCCGCGTCCGCCTCCTCCTCCTCGTCCTCCTCCTCTTCTTCTTATTATTTATTACATTATTATTCTTATTATTACGAATACTATAATTATTATTCGTATTATTATGCTTATGGTTATTCTTCTCATTAGTAATATGATTCGCATTATGCTTCTTTCTTCTTATCATCATTATTAATCGTGTTCGTCTTATTCTGCCTAGTACTACTAGTAATAGTATTAGTATTCCTCTTCTTCCTCCTCCTCCTCCTCCTCCTCCTTCTCCTCCTCCTCCTCCTCCTCCTCCTCCCCCTCCCCTCCTCCTCCTCCTCCTCCTTCTCCTCCTCTTCCTCCCCATCCTCCTCCTCCTCCTCCTCCTCCTCCTCCTCCTCCTCTCCTCCTCCTCCTCCTCCTCCTCCTCCTCCTCCTCCTCTTCCTCCCATCCGCCTCCTCCTCCTCCTCCTCCTCCTTCTCATCCTCCTCCTTTTCTGGCGCTGCCGACAAGAGCAAGCGTTATCAAACAGCACGAAGCACACACGTTCACACTCACACTCACACTCACACTCACACTCACACTCACACTCACACTCACACTCACACTCACACTCACCCTCACACTCACACTCACACTCACACTCACACTCACACTCACGCACGCACGCACGCACGCACACACGGACGCACACATACACACACACACACACACACACACGCGCGCGTGTTCGCACGTGCGGTTGGCTTCTGGTCACAGTATGCCTGGCAATCGACAGCAAAGCACCACACGCACCGACCAGAACGCAGATCACCCACGGCATCAATTCCCATTTGAAACCTGAATATCGCTGGCAGCACGTCGACATGTCAAGCACACTCGAACTGCTGGCCAGTCCGTCTTCTACGGAAGCTGCACGTTCCTGCTTACTTCACTGCCCACGCCCCGGCCGGCACCTCGCGGTAGCTGAAGGACACCGTCACCCTGCTCTGGGCGTCGGAGCTGCTGGGGCCCACCACCGTGCCGAGCACGCCCTGCGGCCGGCGCCATGCTCCTCGTGGCCCTCTGCCGACCCCTTCTTGCATGACGTGCTCGCGTCTTGAAAAGGAGCACAACGGAATGTTGTTGGCCGCTTCAGGCCTCCAGGGGCCCTCGCCGGGCCACCGGGACCGTCAGAAACGGCTCGGGATGCGAATTACATGACGTGCTCGCGTCTTGAAGAAGAGCACAGCGGACTGTTGTTGGCCGCTTCCGGCCTCCAGGGGCCCTCGCCGGGCCACCGGGACCGTCAGAAACGGCTCGGGATGCGAATTTCATGACGTGCTCGCGTCTTGAAGAAGAGCACAGCGGAATGTTGTTGGCCGCTTCCGGCCTCCAGGGGCCCTCGCCGGGCCACCGGGACCGTCAGAAACGGCTCGGGATGCGAAACGGGCCGTAGGGAAAGGGTGAGGACTTCTGGGGACCCCGCACTGAAGAAAAAGGCGCCGCATGTCCGAGTTCCTTACGACGTCGATGACGACACCAGATAACACCAAGTGGTACCAATGCTGACACGAAGACTGCTGCCACTGTCTACTACCACTTTTCCCATTGCCCCTAAGATTGCGACCTAACGGCCGACCTCTCTACTAGCTACGACCCACTATAGGCTCGAAAGCTTTTCTGCTTACGCCACACAACCCAAAGACAAACGAAACCTTCAGCGCCGCACCCCGTCCGCCTCAGCGGACATGTGGTCCAAACGGGCTGACGCCTGCGGGGTGGGCCGCTGGGGTGATCCACTCCTTGAATGAGAATCGTTTTATGGAGAGTGGATGGGGTCTGATTTGGGCGATTTTGCTTGGGCCCCCCAGAGCTCGCCGACAAGAGATACCGCCGCTTCTCGACCCCCGACCGTCGACCCCCGACCCTCGACCCTCGACCCTCGACCCCCCGACCCTCGACCCCCGACCCCCGACTCCCCCTCGACCCCGGACCCCCGACCCTGGACCCTCGGCCCTTGACCCTCGACCCTCGACCCCCGATCCCCGACCATCGACCCTCGACACCCGACCCTCGACCCTCGACCCTCGACCCTCGACCCCAGACCCTCGTCCCTCGACCCTTGACCCTCGACCCTCGACCCTCGACCCTCGACACCCGACCATCGACCTCGACCCTCGACCCTCGACCCTCGACCCAAAAAACTCGACCCTCGACCCTCGACCCTCGACCCTCAAAACACGACCCCCGACCCCCCGACCCTCGACCCAAGACCCTGGACACCCGACCCTCGACCCCGACCCCCGACCCTCGACCCCGACCCCCGACCCCCGACCCTCGACCCTCGACCCCGACCCTCGGCCCTCGACCCCTCGACCCTCGACCCTCGACCCCCGACCCTCGAACCTCGACCCTCGAACCTCGACACCGGACCCTCGACCCCCCGAACCCCGACCCTCGACCCTCGAACCCCCG